CATCGATTACGTTTCAAGCAGAAACAGTAAATAAACTCATCGCACGAGTCAGTCAGCGACACTACTCGGAGTAGATACGAGGGACCCCCAAAGCTTTACAGGACACTCTCAACAACAACGGGGAGGGATTCTTCAATAGGCTCTTTCATCCTATCTGCAGTCAATCTACCTGCCTGAACCAGTAAATTTGTGACTTTTATCCTTTTCAACCATTCCGATCAGGGAGAATGGGGATCGGATATGCGGCGAAACAAGGTCTCCCAGCATGATATCAACTGTGGATACGCTGATAAAAAGTCTGTACCTTACAGTGAACTCAGAGCACGGAGACTTTCTCAATGTGCTGAGAGAGGAAGGACCCTCGAGGGGACTCTCAACCAGTTCACGGGCCAGAAAAGGGTGCCAACCAAGGTTGAATCCGTCTGTCAGCGGTGGCCAGAGCTCCCTGTCTTCTCTGTCTCCCCGACGAGGTGGGCGGAAAACCATGGGTCCGATCAGCGCGATCACATAATCTGGTACCCTAGAGCCCAGTGTGCAAACGTCACCTTCCCGCCAAGAGTGAAACCTCTGGGTTCCACAGTGCAGATGCTCTTTCTTTGTCTTGGAAAGAGGAGACCAGCACCCCATCTGGTTGGCGGACTCCTCTTCCCTGAGTGGAGTCTCCCGCATGCATCTGATAGACCGGGTCGATAGCAGAGAGCTGATACATGCTAAAGAATCCCTCCCCTGCTCTTGGATCCGCTCGACGGGTAGAAAAGCAGGATACTATGTACAGCCGATGGGTAGATCAGATGGAGGGGGAGTATGTGTGTATGAATGTATGTACGGTACGGGGGCATACAAACCGTCGTATCCGATTGATCCGTACTTCAACAACCTGACTCATGTCTGCCAGGACCAAGACGAGTGGAATTGGGGTTGAGAAAAATTAAGAAAATCGGAAAGGACAAAGATTCAAAATAAACATAGGAATCAAAAGAGAGAAAAAATAAAAAAATAAACCATAAAAATAAAATCAAGAAACAGGTTTTAGTAGTATCTGTAACTTTATTTTTCGTTGCCCCGTCCCGTAAACCATCGATGTATGTTCCGACAGTACTTCTGTATCAAACGGCGATGATAAGCAGAGCGAAAGTACAATGCTGGTAAGGACGAAAACACAGAAAAAAGAAACCATAGCTGCGTCGGACCAGAGGGCCGACGATTCAACGTTGACGGATCGACAGAGCTTACTTGCTCCTCCGCGTGAAAGACACCCCCCACTCTATTAAGATTTAATTGATTGACACCACCAATAACAAGCTTCAGGCGGTGCGGTTCCCTCCTTCCGCGGCCTTGTACGCTGGAAACAAACCGGATACCGTCGTTTAGCCGGGACGGTCTAGATTGTGCCAACCATGCTGTATCCTGCATTCGCCATGCTCGGCCGTTCCCCCACGAGCCCAGAACCTAATGTGATAACTGTCCGATTGGCGACTCTTGACCACCGTCAGACGATGACCGTCAATCACGAACTCGACCCCTCAAGGTCCCTTCCAGAAAGATACGTGCTTGGTGTTATGATTCGTCTACAGGGGGAACTACACCAAAGTTTATCATAGACAGGAGGGGGAAAAAAAAGAAGAATAAAAAAAGGCTTGTGATTGAAGCAGGATTTCTTTCTTGCCTTGACTCGTCACCCGCCAACGTGACATTCGCTGTCGGCCAACGATTGCTCCCAACTGAATAACCTGAAGAAAGACCCCCGCCGCGCAACCGATCCTTGATTCTGCCAGACTCGCAACTGTTGATTGATGCTGCCCCAACTGCTGATCAACATCGTCATCACCCGCTGATTTTCAATCTCCCGCTCGATGGCCCGGAATGTGTCCTGCCCGCCGTCTCCCCCGTCTCCCCCGTCTGGGGTCAACAGTGCCCAAGAACATGGCCGAGGCGCTCCACACTCGACAGCCCGAAGGTGAGGCCACTTCGGCCAGCGTCGCCCCCGAGTTCATCGACTACACCCGCGCGCTCCGTCTCGTACTGTAGCATCGCACAGAGCCCGAAAAAGGCGCAGATGAGATTCAACTGCATGGGCGTGGTGAGCGCCAGGACAGCAAGACCGATCGCTTGCAGCTTCGTGTGACCTGGGGGAGAGAGGCCACCGCCACCGTCGCCATTGCGCTCATTGCTCTCCGCGATACGCCCGTAGCAAATGCTAACGAGGACACGGTACAAGCGCGCCGACCCCAGGATTCCGCCCGGCAGTCCGGCGAGTAGAGCCTTGAATACCCAGCCAACACTGAGAACCTGCGAAGAGAATTTACGGGAAGCACCGTGGTCGAACATTCCGATCAAATCGATGGGTAGTTCGCCACGCCGGACCGTTGTCTCAATCCTATCACGCACATTTTCAGCGGACAGCACCTGTTTCGCAAAGTAATCGTAAATTCGGGCGGCCATTTTGAAGTCGCCCGCGTTACAGAACACTTCTGGTGTGGACAATGCTGGTCACTGCTTTAGTAAGTAGACCCAAAACCGCGATCCGTAGTATACGGATAGGAGATGCCTACCAAAGCATTTCAAATAGGAAATAGTCGCGACGAAACATGTCGGTAGCCTGAGGGTAGCCGGTGCAAACTCCACTGGAAGGTTGAGAAAGCTATGCCCCCCTAGCCGAGCTAGACTCTCCAAAGACCTGCCTTTCAGTGCAGACAAATCGCAGGATCGGGAAGAGAAATTGGCAAATGTTCTCATCCGACGCAGCGTTCGTGAATGGGTCACGGCAGGCTGAGCTTTCATATGAAGGGTTGATCGCATTACTCGAATCCGACCAAGCACCCTATCGCGGCGTCGTGGGCACTCGCTGTCTCTAATCATGGGATTATTGACTGTTACTCCATGAGAAGAGGTTTATCACACCAAGTGGGCACTTCAAGGGTAAATATACCTGGGACTTTATCAGGGTAACATTGGTCCAAGTCCAGTGGATCTAGATGTAACTGAGCGGCAAGCTCATTGAAGGCGATAGCGGCTGTGTGTCGATCGATGTGAAGCGACCAAGTGCTATCTCTCGACACGGTGCGGGACGAACTGACGAATGATAGGTTTTCATGGTCGCGGAAAGATTCTTGATCGAAGGGGTTTCCACTTTTTGCAAATATTCCAGCCATTTGAGCGATCTCGAGATTCATGTCACCACAATACGAGCTAGCTTGTGTTGCGGAGCTGGTAGTAGTCACCGATGGCTCTAAGAAGGGGTAATAACTTGATACTCGACGACAGGGCTCCCCAAGCTCATCGACCGGGTTCTGACGCACACTTTCCCTGTGGCAGAGAGCAATAGGCGCTAAGGTGTGTTTTGACGGATGGTGAGATACAGTCACGCTTGTAAGATCAGACTTGTGAGAGAGTGTGGTCCTGTCGCTAGCCTTTCTGGCTTCGTAAGGCCCCATTAGGCTATTCTGGCTCTGAAGTAGCCTCCGCCCATTTGCGCTTCGATGATCTCCAGTACTATCATTTACGGTACACTTATGGTTGCAGCATTTCGAACCCCCAGCAACACGACCATTGTGCAGCTTGGGAGCACTCAACGGAGACTTTTGGCGTCGAGACTTGCGGGAAAGTAGGAAGGTCACAAAGCGTCCAGAGCCTTTGACCAAATGCAGAGAATCGGCAGGCGAGTCCAAGGAAGCAACTTTGGTGTCATTGGTGTCTACTTGAGGGAAGATGTCTTCCAGCACAGGCGTTGGTGCATGCTGCGCCTGTGGGTTTTCTTGTCGTAGGGGATTAGGGTGGCTTTCTCTGGACTGCTCGTCGTATGCGGAATAGGATCCCTTTCCAATGGACAGATCATGATTGATATCACTTGGCAACCCTGTACACTGACGGTGCTGAGCATCACGTAACTTCGCATGGCCTGCAAGAGTCCATGTACGTGCACTGCTTTCGCTTGCGGATGATCTGGAAAAGAGGCTGAAGAGTCCCATTATTGCCCCAGAATACCAAAAGCGAGACGCAATGGGGTAATACGCGAAATCGTAGATTACTCCGGTTGGTAAAATGAAAGAAGGACCAGTCCGAAGACACTGAAGCTTGAAATATGGTAAAAGACCATAGCAGCAACTTCCTCCGGCGAATGTATGGGTCGCTCTTTCTGCTCTTGAGTATGCCAAATGCGCACAACGGCCCTGTTCAACATATCAGCCGGTGAAAGGCATCCCATTCCAAAAATTAAACGCATCGGCTCTCTTACTGTATGAGAGTCGACGGCTACAGCTGCACCATACAATGTCATCAGAACTATAGAAATACAATACACACTCCCACAAAGATAACGGAGGATAGGTTGAGAGACAGAGACAGGGATCTTCACAACAATAGCCATACATGAAAGAAAAATCTATTATGGTCAATCCAAACGCCAATGCTGAATTCGTGGGCAGAACGTAAACCCGACAAGCGAGGGCCAACCCAATAGAAATCTAAACCATCATACAATACCTTGTTTTCTCGTGCACTGCAAGTCGAGAGGGATCCATGTCCCACGAGACGGGCGATTTGAACGTAACCATGTCTCCGTCGAATCCTTAACAGTAGACCATGTCACTAGCCTTAAAAAACAGAATCAAACGCCATTCCCATGCAAGTTTTAATTGTGCACCAGGCACCGTGAGCGCGATGTCTGGATTGTATTAGGACGATTCGTCGTTTTCGCCTTCTAGAAGAATGTATTGCAGAATATCACTTAATGTGAGAACGCCCTTTAGTCGGAAGTTTTCGTCCACCACGACCAGGCGGTGAACACGAGACTTGCGAATTGTGTCAAAGATAGTATCCAGACCATCATTCAACGAGCATGTGTAGATACCAGGGAAGTCCTAGGCAGGTCCTATGTCAGCCCATAAATAGGAGGAAAGCTTCAACAGCCGAACATACTGGGGAACGTTTTTTCAACGCCTCTCCAACCGTTAGACTTAAGTCATCGTACACGCCGCCTTTGATCAATGTTATAACATCAACTGATTCGAAGACATTGTACACAACACCTGGAATTAAGTGGTACTTTTAGCCATTGGACAGGGGTTTCCACTGGGAAAAACCATACCTTCCGAATTCACAATGGGTACACTCGATATGCTCCGCTCCACAAGGATATGGATTACATCGATAACAGGCGTATCCATCGATGCTGTTGCTACATTGTCATAGCTACCTAGCAATATCTCTCCTAGGGGTCTGCGCAGCTTCTGTGTGTCACTGACATTGACGGCGACGAACTTCAAGATACGGTACTGTGTAACGACACTCAGGACATGGTGTCGGTCCGTTTGACTATCGTTTGTAACCAACGGGATTCGTCGAGCCCGAGAGTCAAGCATGCGCCGACAGGCTTCATAGAGAGGCCTCTCCGGATCAATGGAAATGGTCTCCGGCGGAGCAACCCCTAAGGCCTTTTCTACCTCTAGATTTGTAACCTATTATCAGTGCCGGCCCAGGAGTATATTTAATTGCGGGACGGGGCGAGTGACGCACCTCGGAGGCTGTCCAGTCGGAATTGATCGATCTCACCCAGAGCCGCAGGGTTCTGGAAATAATATTGAATGACATTGATGTAATCGGAGGTGGTTAGAAGGCCCGCGAAAGTCGAGGTTTTAGAGTCCCACAATGGAGCTGACACGATACCTGTTGCTCAAACAATGCGAGACCTCGTCAGTACATCTTCCTCCTGAACATCGAATAGCCCGTTTGCGACGTCGCACCCTTGTGCGGAAGAAGCGCAGGCAGGGGACATGGCGCACCGCGCTATTCACTAAACAAGGGAAGTACATGCCATTTTGGATCAAGATATTCAAACTCTCTTTCACTGACAAAGAGGTGTCGAAGATGATAAGCCGAAAGCTGAGCGGAAGGACATCGTAACTGTTACGGACTTTGAGGAAGTTGCGAATGGCACACTACACAGATATGATCGATAGGTAGAGTTATTAGCCAAAGTACTCAACTAGACATATTGACAACGGTGGGAAAGAAGAGCATAGGCGAATGAATCATAGGGAATTGCAGCCCGTGGCCGGAGATAGTAGCGAGATGGCCTGAGGCCACAAGCCCGAGACTGGACCAATACCAACCAGAGGGAAAGAGAGATATAGGGCAAAACAAGCCAACAATGAAATGATTAGGGCGAATACAAATAGACCCGACCACAAAAACAAAAACTCTATGAAAAATTGAAACTCACTAGGCCCTGTCGCTCCTCCCGATCGATCGCCCTTTCGGGCTGGGCTGGGGGCATTGGATGCGAAAGACCGCGCGGGCGGAGGTATGAGGAGGGCTGCACGAAACCTCTCTCGTGACCAGACACAGGGTGACGACTAGGAACGGAGGTAGGATTGTTGGTGGTGCTGATGGGAGTGGGAATTGGAGTCGTCGTAGTAATGGGGGAAGCGGGAGGAGGAGCAGCATCCGTAGTGTCGTTGGTCGTCGTGGCGGGCCTGGGCGGCAGTCTGATTCTGCCCGTGGGGTTCTTGTCCGCCATCGGCAACACGGTCAACGGTGAGAGGACGCCGGGATCAACGTATGGCTGGGAACCTGCATGTAGCTGGGAGGGGCCACGCTGGACGGATTACCTGTGGGGTACAATGTCTCTGACTTCTCTTCAAGGTATGTAATGTACTAGGAAACAAAGAGCAAACAACGTGGTAAGAGTAAACTGGTGGGGAGCGGAGCTGGGAACACCAGTCAGAGTTAAGTACGACAAACAATACACGAGATCATAATAATGGTAATATAGATGGGGATAATTATCGATTGTTGATGGAGAAAATCAACAAACAAATACATAGAAGTAAAATATAGTAGTACCCTATCAAACGAACTAGCTAGCTTTTCGTCCTTTTAAGTTTGTAGATCGACAGCTCCGTTTCTGGGAAGTCGTATAACGGTCAAAACGGGTCGCTGAAACGAGAGGGGAAAAGATAGTGAGACAGTCTCGGATAGACAAGCATGGCAGTTGAGACTTTTTTAATCTTATGACAGAATCTATTGATCCCCCACCAAGCGTCTGATATCACACATGGAAGTCAGCAAGAGATACCCCGCCATCGCACACGTGACATCGATCTGGGGTTCAACGGTATGGGAATGCATGTCTCGCCAGAATGATCTATTAATATGAAGTCATTGGGCATCCTCAGAGAAGTAATATGTCTATATACAAGATACGCTTTTGCTTCTTGACAAAAAGTAATAGTCCTCCCAATAGATTGATCGCGTAAGCTGTTTGACCGAAATGAAAGGAAATGCTCGAATGTGCTTAGCGTCAAGGACCATTGTATGAAAACAAAACAAGACATATCGATCCGAAAGTCCGTTCCCCCAGTTCGTGGATGTTAGAGGAACATAACAAAGCAAACATGGTGTAACATATGCGGTCTAGATGTATATGTAGAAGATGAACTCAACAATATGCTAAGGAATATTATGTAAAAGATGCAGGGGCAGTAAACATTACTCACGCCATTGAAGCCCAGGTCAGAGGACAGAATGACATGATGTTGAGAGTGGTTCCGAGTGTCGTATTATCGATAAGCAGGTGGTTACTCCGCTGGAGCGCCATTCGAGGCCTCTCTCTGCGCTAGACTGGGAGTGCTTCCTGTCTTCAAATAGTTCTCGTATTCGCCAATTCTCTTTCCACCTTGGACCCACCGCTCGCGGTACGCAGCCCTCCTGTGGTCAGCAAGCTGGTTCAGGGTTGGCCAGTAGGCCGCATGGTCGTATCTGAACTCGACATCACCTCCCATGGATTTCATCAGATGGGCGGCAGGGACATGTTGACACAGATCCTCATTGAATTTGAGCTTCTGCCGGGTCAAAGGATCAATGAACGGGGTGATCAACTTGAAGAATCCCATAATCATGAAGGGCACTAACGCACACATGAAATCAGTAGAAGGAAAAGACGAAGACACGAGCGTCACTTACTGTTGATGACCAACGCTCGACCCATTCTCTCCGGGTAGTGGTTTTGGAGAAAGTTGAGCGTCTGTTTGGCCTGACCGACGCTTGCATTCTGACCTGACTTCGTTTCATTGTAGTTGACAATCAGCGCCAAAGTCTCCTGATCTGGCGGCATCAGATCAATCACTCGTTCCAACATGAAAACTAAATGTTGAATCTGACGGTCGCTCTTTTCCGTGTTCTGATTCGACGGCAGAAGGTAGAGACAAGGACGCGCGTGGATGTCATATCCAAGGAGAACCTGCTTTCCCGTCTCATTCTCAACTGAGATGAAATCCGCGGTCAGCTTTTCCACGCCGTATTCGCGACGCCACGTCAGAGTACGTTCCAACCGTGCTATGGCTTCGGACACGTTCCATTTCGTCGCCCGCAAGTATCGAAGCAGGCATTCCCGGGTCAAGAACATGCGCTCATTGTCAGTGATGGGTTCCGTGGGGGCGTTCTTCGCAGACGTCGTCGGCACCGTTGTCCAAGCGGAAACGGCCTTGAGAACAGAATTGTATTTTTCGTGTTGGTCGGCGGTAAGCTCAGCAGGCGGAGTAGGCTTGGCCGAGTCGAGAGGGCGGGGGAAGGGCTTCTGAATGAGCCCATCGGCGGCGGAGGATGGGAGCTCTGATTCAATATCCTTGCCATTGGTTGCAGGCTGAGCCTGTTCGACAGTGCTACTGGAATTTTCAGCCGTTGCGGAAGGTGCGCTTGTCTGTGAGTCGACCGCTTCACCGTTGTGGGCTGACACAGCTGGGGCAGTGGGTTCAGAGGCTGCACTCATGGTTGCAAGGAATAGTATGCGATTCAGTTCAGTTCAAGTCTATGGGATGTATCCTAGGTCTGTAATTCAGGGGGCAATGGCTCGCATAATATAGACTAGCGACAATGGCAGCTCCCCTGGAAGATTTGTTCTTTTCCGCGCAGGTTTCAGCGCTGAGCAGGCTCAGTGTTGATCGACAGGCCCACAGGATGATCGTTCGAC